GCCGGGGCCTTGGCGGGCCAATCGAGTCAGCTCGGTCTCGAGATCCCGTGAGATCCCTTGAGGAGGAGGAGGATGAGGAGGAGGAGGAGGAGGTGGAGGAGGTGGAGGAGGAGGAGGAGGAGGAGGAGGAGGAAGGGGGAAAAAGAGGAGGATGACGATGATGATGATGATGATGATGATGATGATGAGGAGGAGGAGGAGGAGAAGGAGGACCAGTGTAAGCCCAAGAGCCATCAAGGATGTTGGAATAAACCCTCCCACCAAGCTCCCTCTTCACAGGCCCGTGCAACGGTTCATTTCCACTGAGGGAACTGCCTGGTTGGAACACAATATTTTGAAGATCCCGAAGCCTGCGAAAACATTGTTCTCGGGAATCCAACGTCACGGATCACCTTGGCAAACGTGGCGCGCGCCAGAACGCAATTCCTAGGACTTCAACACCCCAATCGAACGTAAATTCTGCACCCGCATATTCCTGAACCCTTCCAATATTCAATTTCTGGTACGCTGATCATGGGGATCCGCGCAACTTTTGCGGATTTTAAACAACGAATGTGCGCGGCGCTAAGGTGAGAGCCACATTTTGAAAATGAGCCGCCCTCCTTCCGTGAAGCTCTTGTAGAATTTGAACAGAAAGCGAATGCACTCGGCGCTAAGGCAAGAGCCATGGTTTGAAAACGATCGCCCTCAATACGTGAACCTCTTGCAAATGTTCGAAAAATGAATATGCGCGGTGCTAATGTGATAGTTGCGTTTTGAAAACGACCCGCCCTCCATCTGGGAATATGTTATCATATTTTGAGGTTCAGGGTCATGAGTGGTGAGGAAGTCTCAAGGGAACCGCCCGGCCTGCCCTAAAAACTGGCCCTGGGGCGCGACAGGGCTAAGTTAATTATAAGGAAAGAAAGTGGAGGAGGAGGCGGAGGAGGAGGAGGAGGAGGTGGAGGAGGAGGAGGAGGTTCCAGAGGTTCCCCCCCCAGCCGCGATGGCTGACTCTCTCTCTCCGCAGCCGCGGCCGCCCCGCGCGGACCGCGGCCGCCCCGCGGCCGTCCCGCGCGGGCCGCGCACGGGCCGCGGCTCGGGCGGGCCGCGCCCCTGGGGGCCGCCCGACTCTCCACGCGCGTCTTGCGGAGGCGCGTGGAGCCTTGGGGCCGCGCGTGCCCTCTGAGTAGGGCACGTTCCACCCCCGAGATCCCCAGCACCCCGTGCAGCGCCCCCAGCACGCGTGTGCTGGGCACCCTGCGCGACATGTCTTCCAGGGAAGGTGGCAGTAGCCTGATTGTCCAGCCCAGTCCCACTGCACGTCGTGCTGGTCGCAGTGGTGCTGCTGTGAACGTGCTGGTCACGGGGGCGCTGCTGCCGTGGGTGTTGCACGTCGTGTTGGTCGATGTTGTGCCGCTGCACTCCGTTGTGTTGCTGGCTAGTAGCCGCGCTGAGGAGTCGTGGCGCCCATCTCCTCCTTCTCTCCTCGTCGCTCTCCACTGCTGTCGCTGGGGCTGGCGGTGGTGTTGTAGTCTCGTCCCAGCTCGCGTCGGCACTGCGCCCCGCAGCTGCTTCGTCCTGCTGGGTTGGAGCCGTCCGCCCTGCGCGGGCCACGCACGGGCCGCGGCTCGGCTCGGGTGGGCCGCGCCCCTGGGGGCCGCCCACCTCTCCACGCGCGTCTTGCGGAGGCGCGTAGCGCGCCCTCCGCGATGGCCGCGGTCCACCCCCGAGATCCTCAGCACTCCGTGCAGCGCCCCCAGCACGCAAGTGCTGGACACCCTGCACGACATGCCTTCCAGGGGAGGTGGCAGTAGCTGCTTCGTCCAGGCCAGTCCCGCTATTCTTCGTTCTGGACACAGTGGTGCTGCTGACGGTGTGCTGGTCACTGTGGTGCTGCCGCCGTGGGTGGTGCACGTCGTGCTGGTTAGTGTCGTGCTGCTGCTCTCTCCGCGGCGGCCGCCTTGCGCGGCCGCCCCACGCGGGCCGCGCGCGGGCTGCGACTCTGGTAGGCCGCGCCCCTGGGGGCCGCCCACCTCTCCACGCGCGTCTTGCGGAGGTGCGTGGAGCCTTGGGGCCGAGCGTGCCCTCTGTGTCGGACACGGTTCGCCCCCGAGATCCACAGCACCCCATGCAGCGTCTTCTGCACGCGTTTGCTGGGCACCCTGCGCGACATGTCTTCCAGGGAAGGTGGCAGTAGCTGAATCGTCCAGTCTAGCTCCACTGCTCGTCGTGCTGGTCACTGTGGTGCTGCTGACGTGCTGGTCACGGTGGTGCTGCTGCCGTGGGTGTTGCACGTCGAGCTGGTCGATGTTGTGCTGTTGCTCACCGTTGTGTTGCTGGCTAGTAGCCGCGCCGAGGAGTCGTAGCACCCATCTCCTCCTTCTCTCCTCGGTCGCGCCCCCGCTCGCAACAGCACTGCGCCCCGCAGCAGCGTCGCCTTGCTGGGTTGGAGCAGTCCGCTTTGCGCGGGCCGCGCTCGGGCCGCGGCTCGGCTCGGGTGGGCCGCGCCCCCGGAGGCCGCCCGCCTCTCCACGCGCGTCTTGCGGAGGCGCGTGGAGCCATGGGGCCGAGCACACCCTCTGCGATGTCCGCGGTCCACCCCCGAGATCCTCAGCACCCCGCGCAGCGCCCCCAGCACGCAAGTGCTGGGCACCCTGCGCGACATGCCTTCCAGGGGAGGTGGCAGTAGCTGTATCGTCCATGCCAGTCACGCTGCACGTCGTGCTGGTCATGTTGGTGCTGGGTGTGCTTGTCACGGTGGTGCTGCTGCGGTGGGTGCTGCGCGTCGTTCTGGTCGGTGTTGTACTCGCCTCTTTTCTCTGCCGTCGCTGGGGTTGGAGGTGGTGCTGGGGTCTCACCCATCTCAGGGACGGCACTGCATCGGCTGCGTGGCTCGTCTTGCTGGGTTGGAGCAGCCAGGTTCCGCGGGCGAGGGCCTTTGAATGCATCTCCTCGCTGACTTCCCCCAACTGCACCCTCATGTGGACGCAGGGAGTGCTCGTCCTCCCCCTCCACGCCGATGTTCGCAGCAGGTTGTGTCCTGGGAGTGCTGCAGGTGCTGGCGCTGGACGCAACGTCGTGCTGCTGCTGGTGCTCCTTGTCGCTGTGCTGCTGTGCTGGTTGCTGTCCTTCTGTGCGTGACTCGGGCTGGGCGACGTCGCTGGGCATGTCAGTGCTGTGTCCGTCGCTAGGTTGGTGCTGCAGTCGTGGTGAGTCCGATGTATTGCGTCCTGGTGGTGGTAGTCCTTCACGTACCAGGCGTCGTCTTGCGGCGTGAAGTCTGCGTTGTTGTTGCTGTCCGTGTGCTCGCTGTCGAAGTTTGACCAGTGTGCTGAGGGAGTTCTCCGTGGGGCTCCACCAGTCGGATCAGTCGGATGCGCATCCTTGATGGTGGTCGGGCTCTCGTGTCTGTTGCGTCTTGGATTCGTACGTCTGTCCGCGTCGAAGGAAGTGGTGGCAGTCGTCCAGTGGGATGTGGTACGCGGAGCAGTATAACGTCTCAAGCGGGCTGATGAGGTGTCGGCATGTCGCGCCTAGCTGGTCGGTGTTGCCGGGGTCGATTTGGTAGGCGGCACAGTTCTGGATATAGGGCGGGGCTGTGTTGGTGGGGCCGTGGTGCATCATGTTTGCAACTTCCCACGTATCGTCCATGTTGTTGGTATCGATCTCGAGCGCTCGTGCATTAGGTCGATCGAGTAGTGGTATCTGCTGTAGCGCCCTGTGAGCGCCTGCGCAGTCCATGTCACCGTTCAACTCCGAATTCGGCTCCACGGTGGTGCTCTCCATGCTGCTGACCTCGGCCCTTTGAGCCTCGATGGCGCCTTGGAGGTAGTCCGTGTCGTGGGCGTCGTCGTTGTGGTGGTGGGGCAGTGGTGTTTCGTGGTGTAGGGCGAACTCGCTGAGGACGTCGTCTACGAAGTCGAAAGGGACGCCTCCGTTTTCGTCCGTCGTGCTGTGTCGAGGTGGTGGCGCTGCAGTGGGAGTGGTCATGGTTGCAGTGGTTGGGTGGTGTTGCCATCCGTGCGGTCCAAGCTCTTCCCCTCGTGCGCGGTGTCGTAGTCGTGGGCTTGGTCGTTGTGCTGCTCTTCGGTCTCTTCGTTTTCTTCTTCGTCGTTTTGGTCTTCTTGGGCTGTGTTGGGCGTGGGAAGGCCTTCGGTAGCTGTAGTCGTCGGCTGAGGTTGGGGTCCACGTCTGCTCTGATGGTGATGTCGAGCCCGATGTGAGGCTTCCGAGGTACGTCGCGCATTGGTTGGATACCTCGAACAAGTCGTGGTCCGCCGTCGTTGACGAGCGCGTAGACGTTGTTGGAGGGCGCGGCGTCGCCAAGGAAACAGGTGTGCTGGTCGTTGTCGGACCCGACGTATGGTGTAGCACCGAGGGCGGTTGTCCATCCTGAGTGTGCCATGTCTTCGTACGGCCTGTTGAAGTCGCCGCAGAGAATCCACGGTGCGCGCGTGGTGCTGAGGAACGCGGCCAGCGACGTTAACTTCCTGGAATTCTCGCCGCTGGTGGTGGCGTGGGACGTGTCCAGGCAGATGGAGGTGCTGAGGAGCTGGGAACCACGCACTTGCAGAGCGACTGGCGCCCAGTCGCACATGTTGACGGCGTCGTGCTGCGAGCCGTGGGCGTCTGGTGAGGTTGCACCCGAAACGGCAGCACGTGGTCCCTGGCATTGATGCGACGTCGCCCTGAGGTGGCCCCTCGACGAGGACTCCCGTGCCTCCGCAAGTGCCTGCCTCGCCTCTGTCGCTACCCCGCGCTGCTGTGAACACTGTTGAGAAGCCCGCCTCCTGCAGCTTGTGCTCAGTGCTGTCGAGCTCGCGTTGGGCCAGGTGGGTCTCCTGCAACGCGTAGACGTCGTGCGGCTGTCGCACTCCATCGTGGCGAAGCCAGCTCAAGACCGTCGGGTCCCACCGCGTGATGTTGGCGCAGGTGGGAGTCGTCGCCAAACTGCCTTCCCCCACCGCGCCGTGACCGTCAGTGGGTCGCGGGGGCCTCCGAGGAGGCCGCCGCGGTCC